ACTAAGGCAAATTTCAGGCCATTCATTATATCACATACTTTCTAGTATAAGTTTGCCACATCTCAGGCAAATACAAATTTGTAAACAAATTTACTGAGTACTTACTAAAAGGAGTCTTTTTTTTTTTTACAAAATTTGAATTTGTAAAAAGCCTCCTTTAACTAGTAAACATTGCTAATACATTTAATTGCATTAACTACTCGACTAAAAAGCTTAAGAGAACAGAAAAGTCGCAGTCTGACAAGAAACTACTAATATAAAACAAATAGGAAATGAAGGCTAAGGGGCACCTGGCTGGCTCAGTTGGTAGAGCACATGACTCTTGATCTCGGGGCCATGAGTTCCAGCCCCATTTTGGGCATAGAGCTTACTTAAAAAAAAGAGGGGTACCTAGGTAGCTCAGTCAGTTAAGCACACGATTCTCTTTTTTTATTTATTTTATTTTTTTTTTTTAATGTTTATTAGAGAGAGAGCATGAGCGAGAGCAAGAGCGAGGGAGGGGCAGAGAGAGAGAAACACAGTATATGAAGCAGTCTCCAGGCTCTGTGCTGACAGGCTCCAAGCAGGGCTTGGATCCATGAACCGTGAAATCATGATCTGAGTCGAAGTTGGACACTTAATCAACTGAGCCAACCAGGTGCCCCACACCCAACTCTTGATCTCAGCTCAAGTCTTGATCTCAGGGTTGTGAATTCAAGCCCCATGATGGGCTCTGTGCTTGGCAGGAAGCCTACTTGAAAAACAAAGCAAGAAAAGAAAGAAAATGAAGGCTAAGTATTTAGCCTAAAATTGCATTGTTGAGGAAACATACTTCAACGAATAAAACTAAGCTACACACAGGTTTAAAAAAAAAGGGCTGGGGCGCCTGGGTGGCTCAGTTGGTTAAGCTTCAGGTCCTGATCTCACAGCTCGTGGGTCTGAGCCCCACATCAGGCTCTATGCTGACAGCTTGGAGCCTGCTTCAGATTCTGTGTCTCTATCTTTGTCTGCCCCTTCCCTGCTTGCCCTCTCTCTCAAAAGTAAATAAACATTAAAAAAAATTTTTTTTAAGTGCTATCTTAAAAATGAAGTTTTTGTATTTTTTTTACATCCTTTGACTTTTATTTAGTTTGTCTATGAGAATTTGAGAAACTATAGTAAAAATGGATTTATGAGCTTGACAAATAATGTCAACAGTTTGTTTATATTTATACTCCTACATTTTGCTGTCAACACAAAACTGCATTAAAATATCTTCTTAGAATATGTATCTTTTGTATTAGATAATTTTATATTATAAAACAGTGACAAGTTATCATTAATAGCTTTTAAATTTATATGTAAGTAGCTAAATAATATTTTTTAATCTTGTATTCAGTTTTACCTTACACTAAAAATCTCATTTAAGGCCAACAGCATAGTATATTAAAGACAAGATGTCTTTTCCTTATTAAGCCATAAGAATAACAGTGGCCTTTTCCTTGATTGCTTGAAACTAATTGAGCTTGGTTTTTCTTAAGTTGGCAGGCATCTTTTTTAACTTGGACATAAGCATGTGTGAGTAAGTGTTCCCATGTTTTAGTCATGGTGAGTTATGAGCATATTAAAAATAATTATCTCCACCTCATAAATCTTTCTTTTACTCAAGTTTATTTTAGCGCTTACTTTAATCTTCCTGTTAATGTCTCCTAGTTTTGGTCATATATATATGGATGGCAGTAAATTATAGATTTGAGCTGTATTTAGCATAGAGAAAAAGGCCAATGGCATAATATATTATAGCTATAGTTCATAATCAGCATCTGTTAAGATGAGGCATAATAAAACCCATCTATGTTGCTGCTTATTGGAATTGGGAACTTATTTTTTAATGAATACAATAATTTAGTTTCATTAGCAGATTTTGAAAATTGAAGAATAAGAGATGCCATTCTGTGGATGAAAAAAAAAGGTGACATTTGCCAAATGCTAATGGTGATAATAGGGTTAGAGTAGATCCTCTGATTTAATTCATGCCGATAAGGTAGGCACAACTAGTAATATGAACATTCAACTGGTTTAGGAAAAAGGAAACAGCAGCACACTACCAAGAATCAGGATCATTATTATAATTGCTAGAATGTTTAGCAAATATGGTAATAATGAATATAACACATTTTGAGATTGTAGGCTTTAAGTTTGGAGGCCTACATGATATATATCAGGTACTTTTGAGACAGGGCAAGCACATCAGTTACATGTTCCACAAGGCATTTTCTCAGTCATGTTCAACAGTGTGCTTTGCCATAGCTTCTCCATTTGTTGAATTCAGGATGACCTTTGCATGAATGAAGTCAAATAGGATTAAGGCAGGAATTTTCAACAATAGAAAAGAGCAACAGATGTAGCCGACTTTGAACGTGGGAGGATTGTTGATGTACTGTTGCCTAAAGGGAGTGTCTATAGTGGGGGGGGGGGGGGGAGGAAAGGAAAAAATAAGTTTACAAAATATTAAAAATGTAGAAGAGGAGTATAATGGTCCAAAATACCTCTCCAGGTATTTTGTAATTGGGATGAAATTATCCTGTAATTTAAAGATCCTTTAAACTGTTTAACTTTTTTCCTTTTGTATTATTACAAAGATACAGTTTGAAAATGTATATATACATACACTTTCAAAAATATGGATGGAAAATGTGTGTGGTTAGGAAAATCGCAGTTACTACTAAGTGGTATTTGTGAGGCTACTTCTTTCTATTGTCTAATTTATTTCATTTTGGGCTATAACAGTATAAAACTATTAATGTTGCACACAAATTATTCTGTTAGGTTTAAACATAAAGTAACAAAAGATAAGACTCCAAAATAATTATATCTATGGCCAGACCATAGTTAATTTCTGACTGGTACACGTGAAACATTTTAAAACAATTACTGCATATAAATCAGTTTATTTTATCTTATTTTGCTTTGTTTCCTATAATGAGTTGGTTTATTTTTAAAAGAATATTAGTTTGTCACATAGATTCTCTTTTCAGTTTATTTAGTTTCAAACAAAATCTAATCCTTGGTGTCTATTATATACTAAATGTATATCCTAGAAGAAAACTGTTGTGGCATCAATATCTTCTGGTTCCTGATAAATAAGTCCCTAAGTGAACTATTGTAGTTTATGATAATGAATAATCTTTAAGCTGTAAAAAAAAAAGAAACAAAATGAATAAAGAAGCATTAAAACAAAGAGATAATTTTATGCTTCAACTATTAACAACTGAAAGTTCTTTAGAGAGCTTAGTGGAAAAGTTTATGAGGAAAAATAAACAATGAAATGGCTTTATCTATTTGGTTTATTAAAATTACATGCTAAGTCTTCTTAAAGGAACGTTGTATATAAAATACTTAAATTGCTGAAACTTAATGCAGCATTCTTTTTCTTTCTTTGTTTCTTTTTTTTAAGTTTCTTTATTTTTAGAGAGATAGCATGGAGCCCAGTGCAGAGCTCAAACCTATGAAACCATGAGATCATGACCTGAGCCCAAACCAAGAGTCAGACGCTCAACCAACTGAGCCACCTAGGCACCCCCTTAATGTAACATTCTTTTTTTTTTTAATTTATTTATTTTTTTAAATTTTTTTTTTCAACGTTTATTTATTTTTTTGGGACAGAGAGAGACAGAGCATGAACAGGGGAGGGGCAGAGAGAGGGAGACACAGAATCGGAAACAGGCTCCAGGCTCTGAGCCATCAGCCCAGAGCCTGAAGCGGGGCTCGAACTCACGGACCGCGAGATCGTGACCTGGCTGAAGTCGGACGCTCAACCGACTGCGCCACCCAGGTGCCCCAATGTAACATTCTTAAAATAAATTTTTATCAGTATGAATCTATGTAATAGTTAACTCTCATCGTGCCTACAGTTCTAGTTTTAAAATATATGAAGGAATGAGTGTAAGAGAATAGTAACAGAAGTATTAACAAGTGATTTAAGTAAGTGATTAAAATTTGGGGATAAGGAAGAAAATCTAAACCTGTTGAGTAAACAGGTCTACTCCCTCAAAGAAGAAAAATTTGTCCATTGTTTCTTCATCTGATACAAGGTTTCAAATAGATTCCCATTTCCCAATCTGTGATTTAGTGGTGATCATTTAAAACTTAATAATACATATCTTATTTCCACTACCACCACCATCAATTCTAAAATTAACCATTTATCTTTCTGCTTTAATTTTTAGTTTCTTTTTGCTATTTAGACTTAAAGCTGTGTAAAAGGCAATAATACATGTACAATAATCAATAGCCATAAAATAGGGTATTAAGGACTTGTAATATGGAATATGGGAGAAAGAAAACACAAGGAAAGGTTTCGTGGAGGTAATAGCATTTGAATTTATATATTACTGCTTTGGTAGAATTGAGACATAGAAATGGCAGAGGAATATTTCAAGCAAGTGAAATGTTATGAGTAGTCCCTCAATGAATCCTGTGCAAATGTCTTTCTTTCTCAGATATTTACAGTTCCCTTCACATGCCTTCTCTTCCTTTCCTTTATGACTGCACATGCAGGCCCTCCACCTACAGCTTCCAGTGGATACATTCCTAGACATCTCTTAAGATCTAACTCAAGTGCCTCCTTCTATATGAGGATCTCTTCTGGGCCACCAAAGTAAATACCATCACTCTATACTTTGTGCTTCTCATTCATTTCCCATATTCTGTATTACAGCTATTTATTTGTGTATCTCTCTTCAAGACTGAGCTCCTGAATTCATACATGTCGTGAAGTCCAGATAGTCCTGTACCACTACTGTATGCCGGGTTATTTGGATAAAGTAGTGAGCAAGATACAGCTCTGTCCTTGGGCAACTCACATTCTAAAATGGTAGAGTGATTACAAATAAATGAGTAATTAAAGAATATACTTTTGGGGTGCCTGGGTGGCTCAGTCAGTTAAGCATCCAGCTCTTGATTTCGACTCAGGTCATGATCTCAAGGTTTGTGAGTTCGAGCTCCACATTGGGCTCTGTGCTGACAGCGTGGAGCCTACTTGGGATTCTCTCTCTCTGCACCGCACCCCTCCAAATAAATAAACTTTAAAAAAAAAAGTATAATTTCATATTTGATAAGAAAATAAAGCAAGGTGAGAAGTTAAAGAGTGATAGAAGGAGAGTGTTTAAAATGGTCATGAAAGTTGTTTTGGAGAAGGTGAAGTATCAAGGAATGATCCATATAAAGATATGGGGTAAGAGCTTCCGTTGGCAAAGGAAGTAGCAAGTATAAAGGCCTTGGGGTGTAAGCTTAGGATTGAGGGGTCATATGAAGCCTCTCTTTAGTAGTGACATTTATAAAGAGATCTGAAAGGTGAATATGGATTAGCCCTTAGGACAGTGAAGGAGTGAGGAGGAAGCAGTTTATGCTGAAAAAACAACAATGGTTGCCAACTTAGAAGAGTTTGACATATTCGAGGAAGAAGTCATTTCCCAGTAAGGGGGATGAATAGTACAACATGAAGCCTTTGAAGACCATGTTCTCTGAAGGAGAGTTTTAAGCAAGGAAATGATATGATCAGATATGTCTTTGAAAAGATCACTTTTGTGAAGGTGGTTGGACAGGGCGGGGGTAGAAGTAGGAAGGAATGGAAAAGAAAAAGTAGTCTGGGCAAAACATGATTGGTTGAGACCACATTGGTGACAGTACAAATAGAAATAGATAAGTATGGGATATTTTTAATTCACAAGATCTTGCTTTTGGTGTTTTATGTAAGAAATCTTTGTCTAACCCAAGATTCCAAAAGCTTCCTCATATGTTTTCATTAGAAGTTTTATAGTTTTATTTGTTGCAAGCTATGGATCAGAGATTTTTTTGTATCTTTATTTTTTTGGTTGTTGCTTTTTCTTTCTTAGCATATGGATATCCATTCATCCCAGAACCACTTGTTGAAAAGATTATCCTTTCTCCTCTGAATTGCCTTTACACTTTTGTTGAAAATTAATGAATTGTATATGTGTAGGTCAATTTCCAGACTGTTCTGTTCCAATGATCTTTTTGTGTACCTTTATACAATACCATCCTGTCTTGACTAGTATTGTTTATGTTGTCATAAAATCATAAAATATAAGTCTTGCAACTTTGTTCTATTTCATAATTATCTTGGCTATTCTAAACCCTTTGCATTTTCATATATGCACATTTTAGAATCAGCTTGTCAATTTCTGATTGAGATTGTACTGAATCTGCAGTTCAGTTTAGGGAGAGTTAACGACTTATCAATGCTGAGTCCTTAAATTCATGAGCACAGTTTATCTCTCTACTTTTCAGGTCCTTTTATTTTTTTATTTTTATTTTTTTTTTCATTTTTGTTTCTTTTTCTTTTTTTTTTTTTTTTTTTTCATTTTTTTTCAGGTCCTTTTAAATTTCTCCTACCAATGTTTTATAGCTTTCAGTGTGCAAGTATTCTACACATTAGTCCAGTTTATGCCCATGTGTTTCATATTTTTAAAGCTGTTACAAATGGTAGTTTTTTTAAGTTAAACTTAAAAAAAGTAAAAGCATTATGTTTGCTCTACTGTATCCCCATCTAAGTCCTTGGAAGCTTTTATGGTTGACTTCAATACTAAAATTAAGGTCTTTGAAGATGTACAAGTAAAAAGTTTTTAAAAGTAATCAGTAGACATTTAATTGCCATTGATTTCTGGTAGTATTTATTATGTAATAGTATAAAATCACATCTATTCAAACCTCTAATTTGAATATGTAAAAAATATATATTGTGAGGAACTCCTACTCTCAATTTCCATTAGTTTCAGTCCTGCGTCTACCTCTTTTAGAGGGTAGGGACTGCTTTATCACCAAGTTGATCCTAAAACCAAGGCCCAGGGTCCCGCACCCTTAGCAAAATAAATAATATAGTGGAATAAGTGAATAAACATCTGCCTTGATGCTAATCCTCTTGCTATCTCTTCTCAAAGTGTGGTCTCTGGAGGTCCATGATATAGTTCATTTGGTTTGTGAAGTAAAGGACATTTTCATAATAATACTAAGACTTGATTTACTTTTTTCACTATGTTGATATTTGCACAGATTGGGCAAGAGAAATAGTGGGTAAAACCTGTGGGTGCCAACATATGAATCAAGGTAGTGGCACCAAATTGTTAGTAAGAGTCATTGTATTCTTCATGGCCATGCAGACTCAGTTTAAAAAAAAAAAAGGGAAAGAAAAACCAATGTCATTTAAGAATGTCTTTATGAAACAGTAAAAATTATTCATTTTATTAAATTTTAATCTTGGAGTGCACATTCTAATATTCTGTGTTAGGAAGTTTGCCTGAAACACTTCTGCTGCTCATGTAGGTATTACCATTATCTCCAAAAAAAAAAAAAAAAAGGACTTGCTCTATTGTTTGGGTTGTAAGATTGGCTAGGGGTCTGAGTAAGGGAACACCATTTTTACTTGAAGGAATGACTGACAAACTGGTTATTTAGACTTGGTTATTTGGTACATATTTTCTCAAAAAGGAACAAAATTATACTATCACCTCAAGGGAAACAACTGACAGTATTTGTTGTCAGTGATACAATTAGAGCTTTCAAGCAAAAATTAGAATTTTGGAAGACTCCTATCTGCCACTTTGAACTTGAGATTTTCCCGATACTTAAAAAACATTTCTGAAAAAATAGGTGATGATATTAAGAAATATTATTTTCTTTCTCATTGCCACGTAGTATTCCATTGTGTATATAAACCACAATTTCTTTATCCATTCATCAGTTGATGGACATTTGGGCTCTTTCCATAATATTATATAATGAAACGTGTCAACATTGTCAGGGAATCTGTTTTCCAAATGACCAGTGGATAATGTTTCAAAATAATGCATAGACAAAAATTCCTTTCAAAGTGCAGGATGGATCGATGGATTTTAATATAACAGAATTTGAAGAGTTCATCAATGTGGTTTCAGATTCTACATAGCAACTAACCTTTAAGAAACCACCACTTGTGAGTTTTGGTATAGTACCAAAGAAGAATATCCACAATGGTCTGAAAAGGATTTTAAAATTCTCTTTTCCAACCATGTATCTGTATGCTAGATTTTCATTACTTTGACCAAAACAACACATCACAACAGATTGAACACAGTAGCAGATGTGAGAATCCAGCCATTTTATATTCAGCTAGACATTAAAGAATTTGCAAAAATGTGAAACAGTGTCACTCTTCTCGCTATTTTTCTTTGGAAAATATAGTTGTTACAGAGATACATTAACATGTAAAGTTTTAAAAAGAACTAATAAGTATTGTATTAATTTAATAATTAATTTCTGTTTTAATTTCTAATATAGTAAATATCAGTAGTTATACCCACATAAACAATTGGGAGTCCTCAATTTCTACAAATGTAAAGAAGTCCTGAAACCAAAAAGTTTAAGATTGCTGCTCTCTGCCATCTCTATATCTATCTTTAGCCTCTGACTTTAGTCACAAGACTGAGACTTTCAGGAGCTTCAGACCTGTCTTTGTTCCTAGTTTTCCCTCAGAAATGATCCAGATTAAGTCAGACATCCATTTGGGTAGGCATTAGAAGTATCAGATTTTCTATAGTTTTGCCAAGCTTTGGTGGGAAACAGGCTCATCCTTCAGAGGTCTAGCTTGAATGAACTTGTGAAGTATTTGTTGACATCACTTTCTTTCTGTGTGTTTTTTTTTTTTTTTAATGCTTATTTATTTATTTTGAGAGAGAGAGGTGGGGAGGGGCAGAGAGTGAGGGAGAGGGAAAATCCCAAGCAGGCTTACACTGTCAGTGCAGAGCCCAACACACGGCTCCATCTCATGAACTGTGAGATCATGACCTGAGCCAAAATCAAGAGCCAGACGCTTAACCGCGGAAGCCACCCGGGTGTACCCCTGTTGACTTGAGTTTCTACTGTGTGATCCAATAGCACAGTGTAGGAGCATATTTTATCATTCTCATCACATTATGTAATGATAGTTATTTATGCCTCCCTACTCAGTTATGAATTCTTCACTGACAAAATGGAATGAGTAAAGGTTTGTTGAAGTACTAACCTATTATGACCAGTGCCAAGGGACACAGTTTTCTTAAATGTTTTTTAAAAAAGGTCTTTCGATAGTAACTAAAATAGGTCTTTCTGAAATTGCTACGTATCAAATTCAATATAATGAAGCACAGCATATAAACATGCAGTATTGTTAACTCATGGAAGTTTTCATATAAAAATGTGGTCTGCCTTAAATAATCAACATATTCTTTTTGTGGTTTAAATGTGTGTATGTTTAGTACAGTTTGGCAAATGGAATAAATGTGCTTTTATCCCATAAAAATACTCTCTAGTCAGTATTATCCATAAAAAATCATTCATAATCATCCTGTTCATATATTGTTTGGGGGCAGGTCCCTTAACCTGTTTGAAGCTTGTCTCTGAAATGTGGGTAATTTTAAGTCACGGGATTGTTGCCAGGGTTTTTTTAAGCATATCTAGCCCTTTGTATTATTTAAATAGTGACTTTGAAAGTGAGATGTGTGACCTCTTAGGAGTGCTCAGCATAGTTCACTGGGTGTGGGCAGAATATGTTCAAATTTGTATCTACATGTTTTAATCCAAGAAAGAAATTAGCTTTACTAATATTAATATTCAGTTTAACATGGGTACCTTCACCTAGCCTACATAACTACATATTAGAAGGTCATGTATCAGGTAGAGGATGGAAAGTGTCCTGTAGAAAGGGGAGTACAAATGCAAGAGGAAGTTTTACATCTATCCTTTTTGTCAGGAAAGATAAACTTCCACTTATATTCATGCTATTTTCCTATTTCTATAAACTTCCATTCATATTACTTTGCCAGACTATGTGAGTACTAGACTTTTCCTGATTCCTTACAAGAAGTAGGCATGAGAATGGATGGATATTGGTTAGCCAGCCTACAATGTTGGCTACAGAAATATTTTCATGTTATTTTGTTGCTAAAAACATCTGTGCCACCTGTATAAACTCTCACTCATATCAATATACTTTCAGAACTTGAAAACAACATTTTCTAACCTGTTTTAAAGTCCGCATAAAAATTATTAGTAGAGTATTAACCTTAACTTGTTGACATCAGGAATTAGAATCTAAGTGAATATCAACAAAAATCCTTTGTATAATTGACAGGTGGGATTGTGAGTATCCTGATTTATTAAGCACAGCCAATGATGTACTTTTTGCATTTAGATTTATGTATCTTTGTGATGTATCTTTTTTTTAGCTGTGACAGCTATTGAAACCAGGTATGAATGTATACACTTTAGACCTTCAAATTGTTAAACCAAGATTAAAAATAATTAAACCTTTTCATTCACATTGTTCTTTTTTATTTTTGAGAGAAAAATCAGTTTTTATTACCATTAATAAATAAAGTAAAATATTTTAATTGTTAATTTACCTCCTCTTTTTAAATTTCTACTTGTGAGGGGTGCCTGGGTAGCTGAGTCAGTTAAGCATCTGACTCTTGATTTTGGCTCAGGTCATGATCTCAGGGTTCGTGAGATTGAGCCCCACGTCAGGCTCTGTGTTGACAGTGTGGAGCCTGCTTGGGATTCTTTCTGTCTCTTTCTGCCTCTACCCTGAGCATGCATGTGCTCTTTCTCTCTCTCATAATAAATAAATAAACTTACATTTCCATTTGTGGCATATATTTTATAATATGCAGTAGTATGTGTATATAATACATAAATGTATACCTATGAGAATATTTCTACTTTCTCCTATTTTTTTTTATATTGTCATGCAATAAAAAGTTGGAGACCGATGGCCTACATAATATTACTGGAACATACATTTATTTCTTCTACAAACTTTGTGTCCAAGTTTTCAGTGTAGAAAATTGTTAAAACAGTTTTTTTTCCTCACTATCAACAGGTGACCCATTCAGCTACTCTGACTACATGGCAATAATCAGCATTTCCAGTTCTGTTTGAACATTCCATCTAGTTGAGGTCTAATGACTAAGTGATTATGGTACTTCTGAGAACCATACAGAACTTTAAATTTATTTAATTCTTTTAAACCTTTTTTATTAACTCACATTATGATTTGATTGGAATCCATTTATTAAATAACTATACTTAAATTGTTGATAGCTTGTATGGCTACCAGTTTGAGATTTTTTTTCTTGTGATTTTTAATGGAATTTTTCAGTCCTATAGAAAGGTAACACCTGTGTGCCCATCTTTCAGCTTAAGATAAAATAGGTATAATTGAGGCTTATTGTGTAACCATAATTACATTTTAAACAGTATTTTAAATTAGATAATATAAATCCATTTTAAATTTCAAACACAGGAATCTTCTGAGTACATTATACATCTGCTTTTTTGTTTTAATGTTTATTTATTTTTGAGAGAGCGTGAGCAGAGGAGGGATGGAGAGAGAGAGGGAGACAGAGGATCTGAAGCGGGCTCTGAGCTGACAGCAGGGAGCCCAACGCGGGGCTTGAACTCACGAACCATGAGATTATGACCTGAGCCAAAGTTGGATGCTTAACCAACTGAGCCACCCAGGCGCCTCTGTTTTTTGAACACTCCCAATTGATATCTCGGGAAAAATATAGAGTTAGGGAACGCAGAAAAAACAAAGCTTATATATTCTGTGGTAAATTCTGCTTTCCATTTCTGTCCCCAACTGATAGTAAGAATAGTGGATAAATATGATACCTGGTGAAAGGTAGTATTCCACCAGTGCTTATGGTCAGTAATAATTAACCCAATTCTTTTCTGTTGGCAAGAGATACCATATTTGGATGATCAAAGAGCTTTAAGCTGTATTCCACACTACTTTCTGGTGAGGAGTGAAGAGTGGCTGGATGCTGTCCTACTTCAAATGGCAAACGATGTCTGCATTTTCCCCTCTGGAAACTCACCAGCTGTACTTCCATATTGACATTTCTCCATAATCACACCTTCCCATTTATTTTTGGCTACATCTATTGTGATAAGGATGACAGAAAACATTTATGTCTTAATTAAGATCACTTAATACATTTTCAAAGACAAATAACCAAATAATCAATATATTCAATTATAATGGTAAGGGATAAACCAGATTATTTTTTAAAAGGCCCTTTTCACTAGTCAATTTATGAAAATGATAAATTATTATATCTTATATTGATGTTTTGCTGATTTTTCACTAAAGACTACAAAAGTCTTAGAGTTATTTAGGAGTTTTAAATGTTTAAATTAGAAACCACAAAAAAAATGACTGCTGCTTAATGTTTTGCATCCCCCAAGATGTAGTTAACGCCCACTCAGGGCATGCTTAGACTTGGTTGGTAATTACAATTGAGCTGTAAAATATTTTGACAGTTTCCAACTGTTGTGTACTTGTTAGTCATTTGGTGGCAAATGCAA